CTTATACGGCAGTGAATGTTGGATCATCTCATCACAGATGGAAAAGAGACTTGAAGTAACAGAAACCTGGTTCTACAGAAGGATGCTGAGAATATTATGGACTGAACATGAGAGCAACAACGAAGTTTTAGAGAAAATGGAAACAAGAAAAATGACACACATAACATCAAAAAGAGACAGTTCAAATAATGAGGAAAGGGGGCGTGGAAAATTCGACACTCACAGGACATACTGAAGGCAAGAAGGACAGATGAAAGCAATACATAACTTACCTCACGAGATTGTGTAAATGGTTAGTAAAAAGACAAACTTTACTAAGGTTGACAAAGGACTGGAAATTGTGGAGAGCCATGATCACCAAAGTCTTGAAAGGAAACCGCCTTTAGGGCTCCATGAAGAACGAGATTGTGTAAATGGTTGGCAGAACAGCAATTAGGAGATATAGTAAAAAGACAAATTTTACTAAGGTCGACAAAGGACGGAAAGTTGTGGAGAGCCATGATCACCAACGTCCTGAAGAGAGACGGCCTATCTGGCTATATGAAGAACAAACTTGTGTAAATGGTTGACAGAACAGGAATTAGGAGATATGGTAAACAGACAAATTTTACTAAGGTCGACAAAGGACGGGAAGTTGTGGAGAGCCATGATCACCAACGTCCTGAAGAGAGACGGCCAATAGGGCTATATGAAGAACTAGCTTCTGTAAACGGTGTTACAAAGGATAGGAAACCGTGGAGAGCTATGATCACCTTCGTCCTGAAAGGACACAGCACATAGAAGAATTTGAATTTCCTGTAATAAGGGTTGCCCAAGTTCCCTGTTTATGTCCTTTGCTACTTGTGGAAGATGTACAGACGAGCTACATCCCTTAGTTCCACTAGCCAGATCAGGCAAATAATGGCGTATTGCTACCATATCTGGACTGGAGCTGTTCAGTTCTCACTTTCCAGCCATGACAGATTTCAAAAGCGTTTACGGAGCCTTGTAGGTGATGAATCATTTTCCCACAGACGAAACGTTGTCTACCTCTTGCCACTCTGTCTTTATTTTCATCGCAAATGTTCAGACTAGCTACACCACCAGTCCAGACCTTCACATCTAGGACCCACCACTCCGCCCACATAGGTTTGACATATCCCTTATCCCTTCGTATTCTATTAGTACAGAGGAATTTGCATTCTTCCCAAGAACTGATATTTTGTGAAACAGACTCCTAAGAGGATGCTTCCTGGATCACTACAATCTTAACCTCTTCAAGTCTAGAGCCAACCGCTATCTATCCTACATATACTCATTGCATGCACCCCATACGCTCTCTTTTAGTGTATTGTAGCGAATACCAATGGCTGAATTGGGACTCATCAAATGGAACAATACACAATTCAACAACAGGCCAAAAATTTGTTTTGCAAAAACTTGTGCTCTTCAAAAGTGAGCAAATATATTCTTTAAACAATTCAATTAATTATAAAGAAAAGAACTTTACAAACTGGAATTACGTTTCAGAAAATATTTTAAGTAGGGGTGGGGATATATGAGACCAAATATTAGGGGTGGGGATATATGAGACCAAATATTAGGGGTGGGGATATATGAGACCAAATATTAGGGGTGGGGTTAAAGAGACCAAATATTAGGGGTTGGTTATAGAGACCAAATATTAGGGGTTGGTTATAGAGACCAAATATTAGGGGTGGGCTATAAAGACCAAATATTAGGGATGGGGCCATAGAGACCAAATATTAGGGATGGGGCCATAGAGACCAAATATTAGGGGTGGGGCTATAGAGACCAAATATTAGAGGTTGGTTATAGAGACCAAATATTAGGGGTGGGGCTATAGAGACCAAATATTAGGGGTGGGGCTATAGAGACCAAATATTAGGGGTTGGTTATAGAGACCAAATATTAGGGGTGGGGCTATAGAGACTAAATATTAGGGGTTGGTTATAGAAACCAAATATTAGGGGTTGGTTATAGAAACCAAATATTAGGGGTTGGCTATAGAGACCAAATATTAGGGGTTGGTTATAGAGACCAAATATTAGAGGTTGGTTATAGAGACCAAATATTAGGGGTAGGGCTATAGAGACCAAATATTAGAGGTTGGTTATAGAGACCAAATATTAGGGATGGGGCTATAGAGACCAAATATTAGGGGTGGGGCTATAGAGACCAAATATTAGGCATGGGGCTATAGAGACCAAATATTAGAGGTTGGTTATAGAGACCAAATATTAGGGGTGGGGCTATAGAGACCAAATATTAGGGGTTGGTTATAGAGACCAAATATGAGGGGTGGGGCTATAGAGACCAAATATTAGGTGTTGGTTATAGAAACCAAATATTAGGGGTGGGGCTATAGAGACCAAATATTAGGGGTTGGCTATAGAGACCAAATATTAGGGGTTGGTTATAGAGACCAAATATTAGGGGTAGGGCTATAGAGACCAAATATTAGGGGTTGATTATAGAGACCAAATATTAGGGGTGGGGCTATAAAGACCAATTATTAGGGGTTGGTTATAGAGACCAAATATTAGGGGTGGGGCTATAAAGACCAAATATTAGGGGTTGGTTATAGAGACCAAATATTAGGGGTGGGGCTATAGAGACCAAATATTAGTGGTTGGTTATAGAGACCAAATTTTTCAAAAAACAAAGTGGAGAAGTGTTTTATTCCACTCATTTGTGTCCAAACAGAAAGGAAATGGGCCAACTTTTTGAAAATTGGGATAGAGCCGGATCAAAACGTACCCAGACCAGCCCGAGGCCCCAAAATCACTAAAAATGACAACGTATTCCAAATAAAATCAATATTAACCAACGAATCTTCAACAAAATGATTCAAATGACGAAATTCACGATTCTACGTATACAATATTAAGTCTACACATTTATTTCCAAAACAATAGGGTATTTTGGTGAGGGAATAGAGCAAATTTCAGGAAAAAACGGGAACAAAATTTATTATTTTAAATTGAAATCACCGATTACTTCAACATTACATTCTATCGAGACACGCTATCGGGCAAAAGTGTCCATATTTGAACATCTCAGGCCATTATCACCCTTATTTTAAGGTATTTTTACAAATTTGTCTTTTATAATATCAACCTCTGAAGGCCAGTATTATATACAAAGAGGTTCAGTAGTTGCACACTCTCATGTGTTGTCAGTTTAAAGTAAATTACAGAAAAATTTGTAACAGCAGATGTCCGTCATTGATATAGTGTGTAAGAAACTCATTCTATCCTTTGTTAATTCAAACGTCCGGACAACAACGTCATTCAGTAAGCTGCTAACCTGTGGTTTATACTGAAACTATGCTGAGCAGACCTTAGTTACAGTTTCTGGGAAAGAGTGTGTTATCTAGCGTAATCAACAATTTGAACAAGGCCAGCTCGCTCAAGCCCTCAGTCACAACACCCACAGAGCCCACATGAGGATTACACAGCAACTATGCTGAGCGGGCCTTAGTTGCATTTTCTGGGAGAGAGCGCGTTATCTGAACAGTCTGAAGAAGGTCAGTACGCTCAGACCCTCGACAGCTCCCAAATATTTCTAATTTCATTGAAAAGGATTGGGTCAACTCGTCGTACGGTTTTCAGGCATTTTTCCAAAGGTGCCGCATGATGGGATCATCTCCCAACAGCATCAAGAAGTCGCCTTCCTGCTTAATCGACCATGATAGGATTTGAACCCGGATCTCATGATCTGAAATAGTATACAGCACACTTGGATGGTCATGTGATTCTTATTACTTTAAAAAAAATGAGCAAATTTAAGTACAGTGTAACCCGAATATAAGAGAGTTGTCGGGACCGGAGAAGAAGTCTCTTATATCCGGGTTTCTTTTATATCCGGGATTGGTCTATTTTAAATACATTAACACAGGCTCTAATTGGGGACCAGAGAAAATCTCTCTTATATCCGGGTTTCTCTTATATCCGGGTCTCTTATATCCGGGTTATACTGTATAAACAAATCGTCTTTGACATAATAGCGGTCCTCGTGTATGGCAGTGAATGCTGTATAATCTCCTCACAGATAAAGAAGAGGCTTGAAGCAACGTACAAATTACAAATTGGAGTTACCAAAAGGCTTAGAGAATTTAATAATTTATTGAAACAAAACAAGTTCAGTTGACCCCTGATGACAATTCCAGAACAACGTAACTATAAACAATTTTTTCTATCCTCTGCCAGCCGCAACGATGGAGAAAGGATAACCTCGAACCATGGCCAGTGAGACACGCTGCAAGAGCCACTCCGTTTCGCGAGGCTCGTCCCTTAATCGAGACGCAATCGTGCAAATGCTCTGAAGGAACGCCATCGAACGAGGGTCAATAACCCCTGAAGTCTCCACCGCCACAGGAGTAAAAAAAAAAAAAAAATTAAAAGGCGTAAGAGAAACAGAAAAAGTAACAAGTAACATGCTTAACAAGTTCGGAAAAAAATGGATAATGTGAAGAAATGTTAGTTTTTGGTATGCGTGCGCGCATGCGCGCGTATGTGTGTGAACTGAAGATAATGAAATCGTTGAGCTTACAATAAAAAATGTAACTTGCTTTATTGACAGACGAAGAAAATGAGTTTTGTTTCGGGGTTGAACAAGCAGCGTAATTCACGTTGGTGATTAGAGTTCAGTGTCAAACAAAGTCGTACGTTTCTCATCATTATAACTTTGTATTGATATTAATATTCTGTCATGCATTGTCCAAAGGAAAAGTTGATAAATATAAACATTGGGGGGGGGGGACAAAAACAAAAAAATCAATGGAAGAAAATAAAGATCAAGAGAGTAAGCAGCAGAACAAACCAAAAAGAGACGGAAAGAAAGAAAGAAAGAGAGAAAGAAAGAAAGAAAGATCATAGTAAATATAAGAGTAAAAATCAGGTAAAAGCAAAAAGAGACAGAAAGACAGAAAGAAAGATTGAGTAACAGATTAAGCAAAACAGACAAGAAAAACGAAAGAAAGAGTTTAGAATAAATAATTAATAAATAAAAAAGAAAGGAAGGAAGGAAGAAAGAAAGAAAGAAAGAAATAAGAAAGGAAGATAGATTGTCTTAGTAACAAAAAAATCAAAAGAGAGAAGCGAAAAAAAAGAAAGAAAGAAAGATTGAATGATTAAGTAGCGGATAAAGCAGATTAGAAGAACAAAAAGAGTATAGAATAAATAATTCAGAAAGAAAGAAATAAATAAGAAAGAAAGAAAGATAGAAAGAAAGAAAGATAGAAAGAAACAACTAGAGAAGAAAGATGGTCTAAAGTAGCAAAAGGTAAAGAAAAGAAAGAAAGAAGAAAAGAAAGAAAGAAAGAAAGAAAGAAAAAGAAAGAAAGAAAGAAAAAGAACTAGAGAAGAAAAAGATGGTCTAAGTAAAGGGGGAAGCAAAAAAGAAAGAAAGAAAGAAAGAAAGAAAGAAAGAAAGAAAGAAAGAAAGAAAGAACTAGAGAAGAAAGATGGTCTAAGTAAAAAGCAAAAAGAAAGAAAGAAAGAAAGAAAGAAAAAGAAAAGAAAAGAAAAAGAAAGAAGAGAAAGAAAGAAAGAAAGAAAGAAAGAAAAAGAAAGAAAGAAAGAAAAAGAAAGAAAGAAAGAAAAGAAGAAAGAAAGAAAGAAAGAAAGAAAGAAAGAAAGAAAGAACTAGAGAAGAAAGATGGTCTAAGGGTAAAGGGAAAAAGAAAAAAGAAAGAAAGAAAAGAAAAAGAAAAAGAAAAAGAAAGAAAAGAAAGAAAAGAAAGAAAGAAAGAACTAGAGAAGAAAGATGGTCTAAGTAGAAAGAAAGGGTAAAAGCAAAAAGAAAGAAGAGAAAGAAAGAAAGAAAAGAAAGAAAGAAAGAAAGAAAGAGAAAAGAAAGAAAGAAAGAACTAGAGAAGAAAGATGGTCTAAGTAAATGATGGTGAAAGCAAAGGAAAAGAAAAAAGAAAAGAAAGAAAGAAGAGAAAAGAAAGAAAGAAAGAAAGAAAAAAGAAAGAAAGAAAGAAAGAAAGAAAGAAAGAAAAAGAAATAAAAAAGAAAGAAAGAAAGATGGTCTAAGTAGCGGGTAAAGCAAAAAAAGAAAAAAAGAAAAAAGAAAAGAAAGAAAGAAAGAAAGAAAAAGAAAGAACTAGAGAAGCAAGATGGTTTAAGTGAAAGAAAGGGTAAAAAGCAAAAAGAAAGAAAGAAAGAAAGAGAAGAAAGAAAGAAAGAAAGAAAGAAAGAAAGAAAGAAAGAAAGAAAGAAAGAAAGAAAGAAAGAAAGAAAGAAAGAAAGAAAGAAAGAACTAGAGAAGAAAGATGGTCTAAGTAGCGGGTAAAGCAAAAGAAAGAAGAAAAGAAAAAGAAAGAAAGAAAGAAAGAAAGAAAGAAAGAAAGAAAGAAAGAAAGAAAGAACTAGAGAAGAAAGATGGTCTTAGTAGCGGGTAAAGCAAAAGAAAGAAGAGAAGAGATGAAAGGAAGAAAGAAAGAAAGAAAGAAAGAAAAAGAAAGAAAAATCTCAGGGGAAAGCAGTGAATAAATAAAAAAAAAGTACAAAACAAAAAAGAAAGAAACAAAGAAACAAAGAATGAGTGGAATGAACGAAATGAAAGAAAAGAAACGACACAATTCACCTTAGCGGTCACGTGAATTGGATCTCACGTTTTTGACATTGCAACTCTTGTGTTTCGACTGCGTTCTCGACTAGACGAACTTTATTTTATTTTTTATGAGATTACGGTAACACACATTGTTGTCTTCTTATAAATGTTTCTTCTCTCCTCATCTTTTTCTCTTCTTTCTCTCCCCCTCTTTCCTACTTAATTTTCACGGTTTCATTCTTTCAACAAAAATAAGGTGCGCTTGCTAAATGATATTTTTTCTGACATGCTGAAGGACAGGTTTTATAAAATGAAAAACGGGTCACATATGTGCAACTTATCCACTCCAGGGTCGGTATGCAAAATCCGTTTAGGTAAAACCGTACAAATTGTGTTAAATGGGGTCTTTTCTCAGGGCTTTTTCTTATTTGTTTTCTTTTTTTTTTAACTAGTACCACGATTATTTAATCTTGATGACAAAGAGCGAATCGTGATTGCTCTTGTCCCAGATTTACTTCAATTATCTAAAAGCATAGCTCAGAAAGTTTATTATGAAGCTATTATATTAACTATCAATGGCTTGCGAAATAAGAATAAATTCTTAATAGGACAAATATACGAGGGAAAAATATCAATAAAAAGAACCTGAGATATATTTTATCCTTAATGAAAGACATTATGGACAATATACCCAAGTATTCTTTCAGAATCTAGAAATCCAGCTGTAATCTGCGAAATTTTATAAAGAAACAATAAGCTGACAATTCAAATGCTGGATAAACTTCTTTCTTTCTTTCTTTCTTTTTTATCAGCCTCTGATTTACACGGGCTTTCTTACTTTCTTTTTTCGTGCTTTCTTTCTTTCTTTTTTCTTTCTTTCTTTTTTCTTTCATTCTTTCTTTTTTTCTTTCTTTCTTTTTTTATTTCTTTCTGTGTCTTTTATCAGATTCTTATCTACACCGTTTTCTTTCTTTTCGTGTCTTTCTTTTTTTTCTTTCTTTCTTTCTTTTCCTGTATTTTATCAGATTCTTGTCTTTCTTTTTTTGAACATTCTTTCTTTCTTTTTGTGTCTTTCTTTCTTTCTTTTTTTATCAGATTCTTGTATGTACGGGCTTTCTTTTTTTCTTTTCGTGTCTTTCTTTCTGGTTTTCTTTTCTTTCTTTCTTTCTTTCTTTCTTTCTTTTCCTGTCTTTTATCAGATTCTTGTATATATGGGTTTTCTTTCTTTCTTTCTTTCTTTCTTTCTTTCTTTTCCTGTCTTTTTTATCAGATTCTTGTATATATGGGTTTTCTTTTTTTTTTTTCTTTCTTTTAAAATCTTTCTTTTAATTTTTCTTTTCCTGTCTTTTATCAGATTCTTGTATATATATGGGTTTTCTTTCTTTCTTTCTTTCTTTCTTTCTTTCTTTTCTTTTTCTTTCTGTTTTATCAGCCTCTTTGGTATTATCAGCCTCTGATTTCTTTCATTCAAAATTATGGTTGAATTTATCTCTGCATCTGTTAAATATTTATTTTGTGTTCATAAACTTTATTTTAATTTCTCCATGTTTCGTGAGGAACAGTTTTGGCAATTTGCTTTATATATACCTACTTTAGCATTATTATTGTTATGACTGCTTTTGGTTCTGATCATACCCATAATGCTTTTGGACATGGTTGTAGTGAACTGTTACGTAATACCGGTTTTCCTATTTGCTGGGCAATCTCCTCGCTGATAAAAAAGAAACTTAAAGCAACGTTAAAATTACAAATTAAAGTTACCAAAATTAAACAACTAGAAAAATTTAAATATCTGGGAAATGTGTGGACAGAGTACGGGAAAAGCGACACCGAAATCCGAAGACGCATTGGGATAGAGAAAAATGCCTTCCAAAAGCTGAGCATAGTATTAAGAAACAGGAAATTTTCGTTACCAACAAACAAAAGACTACTGATCTATTATGCATTATTGGTTCTCCTATATAGCAGTAAATGCTGGACAGATGAAGAAGAGAGTAGAAGCACCAGAAATGTGGTACTACAGAAGGATGATGAGAATCCCATAGACTGAACATGTGAGTAACGACGAAGATTCAGAGCAACAGGAAAAAAAAGAAAAGAAAACATACTTTTAATCAAAAAGAGTTGAAATTTCATGAACTTATAATGAGAAAAGTGGGCTCGGAAAAGGACTGGAAGTTGTGGAGAGCCATATCGTTCAATTAGTGACAGGAAGCGGTACATAGAAGAAGAAAAAAACGAGTTGATACAGAAACCGTAGCAGCAACACTAGTGTGGTGAGACTGTGGCTTTATAGTTCACACAGGTGTCTAATCTTACTAAGAACGCGGATGAGAAAGAGTACAGATCAGTTCATGATTACTGTAGAGTGGTACTCAGTGCGGATCGAAATCTACAATGGCCTAAGAAAAGTTTTTAGCCAGGAGAAATAAACGACATCCAATTTCAAAATTTAATTACGTAAATCCCTACTCAACATAAATAAACAGTATTTGGAACTAGTATAGAGTAGGTCCTCCATTTGCTAGTTTCACTGCTTGTATTCGATTTTTCATGGATTTGATCAAATTATCAACAATCGTCTAATCCATATTTTGCCACTCCTTTAGCAATATTTCTTTAAAGGTTGCCACTGATGTGATTTTGGTTGCACGCTCTCGAAGTTTTCGGTCAAGGTAATCCAAAACGTGCTCTATTAGATTCATGTCAGGATTTTGGCCTACCCATGGCAGTGACTTGATTCCTTGCGATTTCTTCCAGGTCTTTGCTACTTTGCTCGTATATGGCGTTCTTGAAAAAGGTAGAAATTCTTATCAATCTGATTGGTTTCAAATCATGGGAGTATTCCTTTCTGTAATATTTGACAGTATTTTGGACTATTCAATCGCTCGTCAACAAGACTCAGCTCAGATTTCCCCCAAAACCAGACAGCACCCTACACCATTACTCCAATCCTTTCATGTTTCAGGGTCGCCTGCAGACATTCAGTGTTCCAAGTCTCATTCTGATTTCTCCAAATATAAACTAATCTCGAATTAGAATATTGGCAGAATTTATTTTCATTTGACCAAAGTACAGACTGCCAAAATTCATAATCTTTGCTCACGAATTCTTTCGCCCAGTCCATACGAAGGTTCTTGTTAACCTCTGAAATCAAAGGATTCTTTCTTGCAACTCTTCTTTGATAGCTTAGCTCTTTCAGAGTCTTTATCACCGCTTATGGCGACTTTTCCATGCTATTGGCGACATCTTTGACGCTCTGACGACGGTTTCTGATGTCTTCCCCCATCAGCGCCCTTTTCGTTCACTCGGACACAATCCTTGGTCTTCTTGAACGTTGTTCCACATAACAATGTCCTTCTTCATTAAATCTTTTGACAATATTATTAACCGTTTGATGATTAACCTGGAAAAACATAGCAATTTCTCTATTTGACTTGTCACATTGATGCCATCCTATTATTTGCCCTTGTTGAAATTCACTAATTTCCATACTTCCACGAACTTTCATTGCAAGATATAAGTCAACTATTGTTCATATATGGGAGTAGCTTGATACTAAAACGGTACTGTCTGAAAAAAAGAAGAGACGTTATTCAACAAGCCAAAATTGCTGTTATCAAGGGTGGCTAAAAACTTATCATAGCCCACTGTATATCCTAGCGACTTTTCTTAACATAGCTAGTAAGCTCGATAACAATCAGACTTTGGTTGGTTCCATAGAGGAATCCATGCAAAATTTATTAAAATTTGTATATTCTTCTTCTACGTGCCATATCTCTTCATGACGTTGGTGATCACAGCTCTCCATAAGTTCATGTCCTTTATAGCTCTTAGTAAAGTTTGCCTTTTTAAAATTCTCCTAAACTCTGTTCTGTCATCGATTGCCACAAGCTTGTTAGGTGGTTTGCTCATTGTTTCCCTCTGTCACTCTTGCCTTCAAAGGCTTACGGCCACGTTGATACGCCGTTTCCTGTACGACCACCGAAGTTAAGCAACGTCGAGCCTGGTCAGTACCTAGGTTGATGAGAATAACAAGTGCAGTAAGTTTGGATGTACTGGTGGTGTAATTGTTTGGAATTGTTAATCAGAGTGTCGAGTTCGAATTCCATTTGGGTACTTTATATTAACTTACGCGCAAATACCCGTGGGAAAGTCATAAATATGTCTTTTCTCTCCCCAGCTATGGGTTAATTATCATTAATATCATTAAACTTTTATTATCAGAAACAATTCTTCCAATCTAAACTTTGTATGTTCTTCTTCCATGTCTCTTCATGACGCTGGCGATCATGGCTCTCCATAATTTCCTATCCTTTGCAACTCTTTGTAAAGTTTGTCTTTTTAAAGCTCTCCTAAAACCTGTTCTGCCATCCATTTACACAAGATTGTCAGGTGGCTTGCTCATTATTTCCCTCTGTTTCTCTTGCCTTCAAAGACTTACGGCCACATTATGTTGATACACCGTTTCCCGTATGACCACCGGAGTTAAGCAACGTCGACCCTGGTCAATACATAGATTGATGACAGCTTGAGAATACCAATTGCAGTAACCTTGGATGTACTGCTGGTGTAACTGTTCGGAATTGTTAATCAGAGTGTCGACTTCTAATTCCATTTGAGATTTTATATCCACTTACGCGCAAATACCCTTAGGAAAGGTATAATCTTCCCCTTTCTCTCCTCAGCTATGGGTTAATTAGTAATACTTCTATCATTAAAAAACTACTATCTAAAAAAAAATTCTTACAATCTAAAAATATTTCCTGGCTTTAAATAACCTGAACAGGTTGATAAGCCGTAGAAAATGAACCAATCAATCAATGAACTACTGATTAGCTACGCTGGCATCTTATTTAGACTTATATACATTCTCTGGAATATGAATGTATAGTAATTACCGTGGACACAAAGTGAGTGATCAGTTTATATATTGATTGTAATATAGAACTGATCCCTCTTTTTATTGTTTGTTTATCAAATTTTAATCCATCTCTTCTCCAGTTATGAATTAATTGGTAAGACTTGCATCAGTAAACCATTATTATCACAAAAGAGTAATCTTAAAATCTAAAAACATTTTCTGGCTTTAAATAACCTGCAAAGGGTTGACAAGTCGTAGAAAACGAATCGGTCAATGAACGTTTTCTTCAGTATGTCCTGTGAGTGTTAAGTTTTACAAATTCTTTAACTCTTTGCATGCATTTTGCGGCCAACAAGAATAGAATCACACGATAGTAGAGTTCTTCTAAACTAGTTTTCTGATTATTGTTGCCCTGTAAGGCGCCTATTTTCTGTCTTTTTGTCGTTATGACAATAAGAGCAATGTTGCGGTGAGAATTCATTAACTACACCTGAAGGAATTATGTTTAGCAAAATGCTATTGTGTTGAAACTCTATTACCAAAACCGGTTCTGTCTCTGTTCGTCGAAAGACGTATGCATTTTGTTCTATGTATAAATGTTCTCGTCAAATTAATGATTGTATTCTTTTATTTGCTTTCATTTTACTGTCTTCATTTATCCCTAAAAATGCAGAAGACACCTTTTTGCTGTTATTTATTGTTAGCAAAGTAGTTACACGGGAAAATAATTGGCTTTTAAGTGGATGCATTCGAGGCTCGTTTTAACCTTTGGCCTGCAACGTGTGGCTACGGCAGATTATTTAGGAGAAATAGTTCAGTAAACATAAAAACAATTAAGTCGTGTGTTTTAAACATTTTTCAGTGTGTGCATTTATTAATGCTATGTCCTTTCAGATTGTAGATGATCATGGCTCTCCACAGATTCCTTTTCTTTATCATCTGTGAATTGCCATAAATCCATGGTGTTGCAACTTGACTAATGCATGGAATAATAATGCAACACAAAATGTACTTAGAACAAAATGTATTGAAACAAGAAAATGTACACAATATTTACATATAGTCTTTTGTATATTCCTGGTAAGACTGTTCCTGGAGAATGTGTTGACTGAGTCGCAGTCGGGCAGAGTCTCTGGATTGAATCTCTTGATTCCTCCCTCTCTTCCCGGTACCAACCATATTTATATGGTCGGTACTCCACTATGCAAATTAGGTGGATCCTACCACAACACATGGGAAAGGCAGTAGTGTAGGTTTCCCGTTACCTTGTCCATGGTTTGAAATTCAACGTTGCCTTTCCCCTAGACTGGCTACCAACAAAGCCTAGAGAACCCTGGGGAAAAAACCTACTATTTATTTAACCCATATCTTTTAAGGTTCGGGGGAAATGGGTTCGTGCTTTTCTAACAGTATTTGTGCGAAAGTAAACGCAACTGACTAATCTGTAATTTGAACTCGACTTGCCGATTACGCTTTCTGTCATACTACGAGCATATGCATATCTTTACTCGGGAACGAGCAGCCATTATCTCTTTCTCTCTCTCTCTCTCTCTCTCTCTCTCTCTCTATATATATATATATATATATATATATATATATGCATGTATATGTATGTATATATATATTAATACATATATATGTTTTGATCAATAAAAGATATTAAAAATTAAAATTTTCAGAAACACTGGGTTTTATATTAATATTTTTTGTTTTATTATTTCAATTATGTTCCTCGGCGAGTTTCGGCCCGCATGGCCATCATCAGGAGAAAAAAATCCCTACTTTTTAGTAGCAGTGAACTACAGGTGTGAATGACTGTCTCTGAAGAAAATGAACTTTGTCTGTAGTTTTCATTTGTTTTTTATCGTTAATTTTGGTCATCGTTAATTTATATATATATATTATATATATATATATATATATATATATATATATATATATATATATATATATATATATATTCTTTCCTAAGGTAATGAGCTTTTATTTATCAGTCCGACAGATCTTATTTTTTAATGGTTATTCATATTTGAGTAGACGCTTCATTTATTTATTAAGCAATATATTTATTTACTTTGTCGGATCTAACGACGGTTTTCCTATGCCTAGAGGGACGCAGGTTCGAATCCTGCCGGAGAGGGTATATTTTTCTTTAATGAGATTTCTCGTACATTCAGGCTGGTAGACGAAAATTACTAAATATACTTAAAAAAAAAAAAAATAGAACGTCTAATCAAATAGGATATTGACTAAAGGAAAAATAAAAAACTCAACACACAATAACATCAACCTATGCATACGGTTATAATGTATTGGCCGTATTTAGAGAAAAAACTTTCCCACAACTCGAGTAAATATATATATATATATATATATATATATATATATATATATATAAATTAAAATTCAGTTAAAAATATTAAAAAAAAAAGATCTTGATAATAGCTGAAAGATAGCCGAGAGCTCTTGGATATACATAACATTCGGAGAATTATGTCCAGAAAAGAAACCACTTATCCGAACACAAGAGAAGCTGAATAAAAAGATTAATGGCATTAACTTATCAGGTGTCCTTAATGCAACACACACACACACACACACACATATATATATATCTTATCAGTTGTCCTTAATGCAACACACACACACACACATATATATATTGTCAGTTGTCTTTATGCGATACACACATACACACACACGCTTTACCGATTTAGCCACAGAGGAGCACGCCAGGCTATATGACAGTTCCGTATAGGATACAGGTTCGATTCCTGTCGGAGGAGGCATATTTTCTATAAAAATTTCTCAGACATTCAGGCCAGTAAATGTCGTTAATACTATTTATATATTTAATACTATTTATATATTTGTATCTATACTATTTGTATCTATAAAAAGAACGTATAAACAAAAAATGTCGTAAAATATATATATATATATATATATATATATATATATATATATATAGAGAGAGAGAGAGAGATAACGGAATATGTTAGTTATGTCACAGATATTGAGCACTTGTCACTAAATACCGCGCATATATATATGTATATATATATATATATATATATGTGTGTGTGTGTGGCAACAGCAGAGGTGAAGTAAAACTTGGAGAGTTGAGCTAAAATGGGATATAACTGATTCTGAGATATCGGGAAGAAGCATGACAGGTGAAAATGGAACAATCTATCCCGATGGATGAAATAAAGTGTTCGGTTCGAAATTACAATCAGCTGAAGAAAGCCGGAACGTACAACGGCCGAAACGTCGTTTCACAAGTGACAAGTGTATTGGACACTTTTTAATACTACTGTCTCCTGGTCTGACTCAACTCTGGGCATTAACTTTTATATATATATATATATATATATATATATATATATATATATATATATATATATATATATATATATATATATATATATATATATATATATATATATAATGTCTATGCGTGTGTGTATGTTAAGTGGACATCTTTATTTCTGACTGGTAAAGTCCGCGTTGCTGATTGGGATATATATATATATATATATATATATATATATATTATTTCTTTCGGTGGTGTCATCATAAGCCGACTCAGATGTTTTCTAATCTCCTTATCTCTTCTTCATCTCTCCTGTCTCTTTAAAATCCCTACTCAGTTACGCATTTGCCTGGAAACTTTTCTTTAATGGCAGGCCCCTGACCGCCTTCACATCCCCTTCGGCACGCATGACTGGGCAGTTCTCAAACACCTGCCCAACGTCATTGAGTTCCCGCCATAGGAACACACGAGGACGGTTTTTTTTTTTTCCTGCACTAATCTGAAAATACAATATTAGCTGAAAACTAAATCTGATATATTCATTTCCTTGTACATAAAGAATCGACATTTCGCAAATATGGTACAGTGCCAAATTTTCAAAGACAAGTTATCGGAAAATCTCTTTCAAATTAGGTATAAAAAGACAGGTTTCCTTCAAAAAGTAAGCCCACATTTATGGCTCCAAATTTGGCACTAGGCTGCGTGTATGAAGCATTCGATGAGTATTCAATTCAATATACAGTTATAATGGACTCTGAAACCAGCTTATTGGACAGTAGCAAATGTTAAGATAAATGGCACTTTAAGCTCAACTTACTTTTACTCGGCGGCCATAAAGACAGAATACGCGGTAGGGATCGAACTCAAAACGTATGCGTTTAGGATTAATGACATGACCAAAAATACATGTAATAATAGTATAAACTTTTTTTGTATGATTTCTTATAAACGATGTTTGTTGTCGCAAGTTTCTTTTATCTATAATAATAATGACACGATTATATGAAACATATGCGCATTAATACGCACATATATATGTAAAAAACACACATAATATATATATATATATATATATATATATATATATATATATATATATATATATATATATATATATATATATATATATATAGGTGTGGAAGCAAAATTTACAAAGACAGTTATTGTAAATTATTGAAGTTATTGCTTCCCCACCCAGTGTAAAAAAAAAAAAATTATATATATATATATATATATATATATATATTGTTATGTTCGTCAAGAAAGTGGAAAAGTTCGTTCTTTACAATTTCATTGGACTAAAACGATGTTTACGGTGATACGATTACACATGCGCATAAAAGAGAGGGGGCGCTGAAATTTGCAATTTAATTTTAATTCTTTTGTTTAAATATATGCACATATTTATATTATGCTTATACAGTGTAACCCGGATATAAGGGAGTTGTCGGGACCGGAGAAGAAGTCTCTTATATCCGGGTTTCTCTTATACCCGGGTTTGGTCTATTTTATGTACATTAACACAGGCTCTAATTTGGGACCAGAGAAAATTTCTCTTATATCCGGGTTTCTCTTATATCCGGGTTTCTCTTATATCCGGGTTACACTGTAATAGACCCTTTTCTGTCAATAATCCTGTATTTAACTCTGACCGCTGACGAGCTCTTTCTCCCTGATTTCCAATTCATTTCCGCGCTAAAAGCATTAGCAATGTATTCGCACACAGACACACACACCGAAACTCGCGTGCGCGCGAATAAACACACACACACACACACCCACACACACACACGCACGTATATATATATATATATATATATATATATATATATATATATATATATATATAGATAAACCTAGTGAGCCAGACAAACCTACCTAGGTTTCACCTAAACGGATCGTCAGGGAGCCGGTTTTCCAATTATATACTTGGGTATATATATATATATATATATATATATAGTCATTCACAGACACACTCTTTCGTTGTATCACAGCTTATCAATGTGGCTAGACGTACGATTGCCTCAAGCCAGGATCGAAACCCGATTGATTTGGCATCCGTCAGAGATTTTGCCCTAAGATATCAGCTCCAGGCAGAGAGGAAGGTAAATTTTTACGGATTTATTTTTGAATAAAGACGCTAGTGACTCAAAGCGCTCGATTCATGGAAGAGCTTTGTATTATCAGAAGTAGCAGTCAACGTTTACAAATTCGCGCTTTCCATCTAAAGTGCTCGACCGAATTTTATTTTTTCGCGGGCCTATATATTGTCATCCACAGACAGACTGTACTTATTGGAAAGCGCTCAATATCAGCGATTGAGCTAACATATTCTGTCGTATCGATATGAGTTTGTTTGTCTGTGTTACGGTTTTTTGGGTATATACCCTATATAACTAGTGAGCGAGTCAAAATGACATATTTCCCTTTATAGTCGACCAATAGAAGGTTGACCAATCAGAAGCCGCACAACACTGTATCCGCCGTGTATAAAGGCGGCCATCTTTGTTTTCCTATCAACCTGACCAGAGGCAACTTGTCCGGCGAACAGGACAGACGGAAGAACTACGCTCTGCTAGCTTGCTGCGATATCCACTGCGAACCTGCACTACGCTTTCCTACTGCCTCCGAAATATTGACTGCCAACCTCTGGATTCTATACTCGAAGACCACCGTCATGAAAATGTCTAACAGTCTGATGATCGCAAAAGCGTGAAACGACAACATATATATATATATATATATATATATATATATATATATATGCTTAAGTGTTTTCGGGGTTAGTAAAAACCGTGACGTGTGTGGCATAGAAATGTAATAACATGTGAATATTTGTTGAGACGGAGTAAAATATAATTTTCACTTGACTGGCCTTGTACGTCATTTCTCTCGGGAAATGAGGAAGTCCTCTTTCCAGATCAAACGAATGTCACATGAGCAGTTTAATTATCTATACTGTTTGGGTCAATGGACAACTGATTGAGTCATTGTCGCAAGAAAAAATTAAAAAAAAAGTGCACCTAAATTATATGGTTTTCCGAATGCACGTGTTCGGTTCTCTAGCTTAACCTCGACCGGTGAAAACATTGATTTTCTATCCACACATCAAGTTCACTAACTCTAATGTCAGTTTTCATTATCTATCTATCTATCTATCTATCTATTTGAGTTTGTTCCTATCTATCTATCTATCTATCTATCTATCTATCTATCTATCTATCTATCTATCTCTAAATATATCTATTTGAGGTTGTTCCTATCTATCTATCTCTAAATATATCTATTTGAGGTTTTTCCTTCCTATCTATCTATCTATCTATCTATCTATCTATCTATCTATCTCTAAATATATCTATTTGAGGTCCTTCTATCTATCTATCTATCTATCTATCTATCTATCTATCTATCTATCTATCTCTAAATATATCCATTTGAGGTCCTTCCTATCTATCTATCTATCTATCTATTCATCTATCTATCTATCTATCTATCTATCTATCTATTTGAACTATCTATCTATCTCTAAATATATTGTTTGAGGTTTTTCCTTCCTATCTATCTATCTATCTATCTATCTATCTATCTATCTATCTATCTCGTTTATATCTATTTGAGGTCCCATTCTCTATCTATCTATCTATCTATCTATCTATCAACATCTAATTCTATCTATCTCTAAATATATCCATTTGAGGTCCTTCCTATCATCTATCTATCTATCTATCTATCTATCTATCTATCTAAAAAAAATCTATCTATCTTAAATATATCTATTTGATACTATTATCTATATCTATCTATCTATCTATCTATCTATCTATCTATCGATTTGAGTTTGTTTATCTAATCTATCATCTATCTATCTATCATCTATCTCTAAACATATCTATTTGAGGTTGTTCCTATCTATCTAAAATAAATTTGAGGTTTTTCCTTCCCATCTATCTATCTATCTATCTATCTATCTATCTATCTATCTATCTATCTCTAAACCTATTTGAGGTCCCATCTATCTTTATCTATCTATCCCTATCCCTATCTATCTATCTATCTCAAATATATCCATTTGAGGTCCTTCCTATCTATCTCTATCTATCTATCTATCTATCTATCTATCTATCTATCTATCTATCTATCTATCTATCTATCTATCTATTTGAGGTTGTTCCCATTCTCTCTATCTCTAAATATATCTATTTGAGGTTTTTCCTATCTATCTATCTATCTATCTATCTATCTATCTATCTATCTATCTATCTATCTTCTATCTATCGATCTATTTGAGGTCCTTCCTATCTATCTAAATCTATCTATCTATCTATCTATCTATCTCCTATCTCCTATCTTAAATATATCCATTTGAGGTCCTTCCTTCATCTATCTATCATCTATCTATCTATCTATCTATCTATCTATCTATCTATCTATCTATCTATTTGAGGTTGTTCCTATCTATCTATCTCTAAATATATCTATTTGAGGTTTTTCCTATCTATCTATCTATCTATCTATCTATCTATCTATCTATCTATCTATCTATCTATCTATCTATCTATTTGAGGTCCTTCCTATCTATCTATCTATCTATCTATCTATCTATCTATCTATCTATCTATCTATCTATCTATCTCTGTATGTCAATCTGTTCATTATCTATCTATCTATCTATCTATCTATCTATCTAGAACTAACCAAAAGTTTGTCTCAACAAAATCAAACTGTACCGTTTAACAGAGTTTCTCTACTGTCCGACGACGCAACATCTAAACCTAAAACCCTTGATATCGCTTCATCGGGAATTTCCTCTTTATCAAAAAAAAAAAAATGTTCTAGATGCTTAATAATAGTATGTTTACCAAATCGACTTAATCTGGACAAATAATTAAAAAAAAAAATTACTTTACCCTTTGAACCATGACCCTAATTTTTCCTATCCCTTGCCCTTTGAGCTCAAAATAACTACTGTCACTAACACGACGATGACTCCTAGTCACTCTCTTAAACTATTTGCACCCATATTCACCCTCTTCATCCAACGAACCAGCAAGGAAATCCATCAACTACTGAACACTTTGTTTAATCAATTCAGTCCAGTACAGTATCGAAATTTCAGTCGAATATACGCTTGAAAATAAATTATGAACTCCGCCATTTGTATTTACCACAAGCAGGACACTAACACCAGTCTACCGGTGAATAAGTTTATCGAGGCACTTGTAGAACGTTGCCGAGACGCCGGTTATATCTTACCATTTTCTGCATTTATTTAAGCGCAAACTTGGACCTTCGACCCTCGCCAGCAGTAAGAAACATAGTGTCAAAATGACGGGTTTTCCATTAATACCGCTATTATTTTAACTACTACCTTCACATTGCAAGGTTTATTGTTTTAAAAACGCTATAATTAGAGTTGTCATAAAACCTAAATATGATACAAGTGAATTTATACATTTTCTTTGTTCTTGAGAATTTACATCAAAAATATTAAACACTATTTATTTATTAGATTGCTTATTTTTTGCAAAAAAGGACACATATTTACGGCATTTTAAAAACTTATACAATTAAAACTAATACAATATTTATCATTTACCAATTTATAAAGAAATAAATATAAAAACAATTTTTTATTCTTAAATTTATAAGCATTTACTAAATTATTAAATTTTCGGAACCAATTATAAGGAGATCCTTACAGTGGCGTAGCTAAGGGGGGGGACGAGAGGGGGGGGGACGCGCCGGGTGCCAGCACAGGAGGGGTGACACAATGTCACCCCCAACAAAATTTTTCAACCAGGCTAAGGTGCCAAAAATAGTCTGAAAACAGTGGTGGAGACACAGGGTTTCGCAGGCTGGCATATGATCCCCCCAGAAATAATTTATGACCCCCCCCCCGGTTTTGTTCCCCCAGCCCGTCAGAAATTTTCTAATAAATTGTCGGGAAATCTGTGCGCAGGAAAAATAGCAATGTTTTCAGCTTCTGAGTTGAACTGATTATTTTGTCGTATTGGATTTTGTCTTGGATCATACATGTAAACAGTAACGTACCGGTCAGTAGAGTAAAGTAGAGGTAGAGCATGTATGAAAATTTAGCTACAGCTAACCATTCAGCATAGGGGTGAATCAGGGTCATTGGGGTGACATTTGAGCGGATCGCCCCGGGTGACGTTTACGCCACTGGTTTTATTACAATTCTAATCATCGCTTTTTAAACACAATAAACATTACCAAGGAGTGATTTTTTTTAAAGTAGTGAAGCTCCAAATTTTCCCATTTATTAATGTTTCCTCAAAAAGACGTGAAAGTAATGATTATTTCCATTATACTACGTGTCTTTATACTAATATTTTGTATTTGTGTTTTATAGGTCAGGGGAATTCAGGCCCTTAGAATTAAATATGGCGATTTCATAAATTCTTTTGATAAGGAAAATGGCCGTTAGGTTTTTTGTCGTCAGGTAACATTATTTGGAGAATGCCCATTTCGTTAAAGAATATTCAGGAAAACGATTTTAGTTTATTTAAGCATGTAATGTTTAAAGCAATTTATCAGTACATTACAAAATATTTCAAAAGCACTTCAGCTATATCAGAAAACATTACAGTGTATAAGCGTCAAGTTAACATTACAGTTGACGATAATGGAAGAAATCATTACAGCGAAAATGTTCAACATGATTACAATAATAGAACGCCAGCGGTACTTTGTCACTGCAATTCGTTTTATAGCAGCTGTCATAAGGATTTCGTTAGAAACAAACAAAAAAAAAAAAACAGTACTGGACTGTTCTGTAATATCAGTCCTCTTATATGCCAGTGAATACTGGGCGATCTCCTCACAGATGAAGCAACAGGAATATGGTTCCACAGTGCTATGCTGAGAATAACATAGACTCAACATGTGAGCAAAGATGAAGTTACAGAGACAATGTAAACCAAAAAGAACACATATACTTAATATTAGGAAGAGACAGTTTCAGATTTTTTTTGGTATATTATGAGGAAAGAAGTTTTGGAAAATCTGATACTCACAGGACAGATTGAGGGAAAGAGGGCCAGAAGAAAACAGTACATAACCGATCTAACAATCTTATGGAAATGGCTGGCAGAACAGGAATTAAGGAGAGATAGGGGAAAATCAGAATTTACCCACAAACGACAGGAAATTGTGGTGAGCCATGATCGTCAACGTCTTGGAGGGACACGACAAATAATAATAATAATAATAATAATATACCTGAAACCCTACCAACCGAAACGAAGTGAATACCATCTACGCCAAACGAGAAAAACAGAAAGCAAAACAACTTAGCCAAATGGAATTACCAAAAAAAAAAAACCAGGAGGACAAGGCGCTGCATGGCAAATACCTAAAAAGAACGAAAGAAGCAGATGTGAACCAACACAAAACACATCAGTGTCTGAGGAGCACCGGGTTGAAAGCTAAGACAGAAGGCTTAATTATTGCAGCTCAGAACCAAGCTTCGCAATCAGATCACGTAAGGATGGAACTAATCCGAAATCCAAGGAACTGCGGAAAATATGATGACTCTCTCGATCATATTATCTCAGGATGTCTGGAAATAGCAAAAATAAAATAAAATAAAAATAAATAAACAAATAAAAAAACAAAAAATAAAACGAATATACCCACAGACAAGGTAGCGATATATGTGCACTGGAAGATATGCAAGAAGCACAAAATCGAAACCAATGAGAGATAGTATCACAACCAGACACAGTTACCCAAAATAACGATGTAACTATCCTCTGGAACATGCCAATTCAAACTGACACGAAAATAAAAGCAAACAGACCTTATGTTATCATAAAAGACAAGAAATTCAAGAAGTGTACGCTTATTGACTTAGCAGAACCATCTTAGAAAAACACGTCCGTGAAAATTATCGAGAAATTATCCAAATACAAAGACCTAGAGATCGGAATCGAATGAAGACTGAGACTGTACCAATAGTAATCGGAGCTCTGGGCCTCGTAAGAAAAGGAATGGACAATTTTACTAACAGTGTCCCAGGTAACATAAACATACAAGTTGCCCAGAAGATTGCTTTACTAGGAACATCCCATATACTAAGAAGAGTGCTATCAATTAAATGATAATTCTCCTATAGGACCAAAGGACCATAGTTTGAACCCGGCTCTACAGGATACAAAGCATGAAACATAAAATACACAAATAATAATAATAATAATGTCGTTTTAGTAAATAATATTTTTAACCCCAGACTAGGTAGACAGACTATTTGAGATAAAAAGGAGGGATGCTTTAACTTCATACTTCTTGATTCCAGAGGAAAACTTGGAAATTTTCTAACCTATTTCCGTTAATTTTTTACTTTTTTTTAATCGAATTTACCTCAAGCAAGGCAGTAAAGCCACTAAGATACAACGAGGTTGCTGGGTGTGACAGAATTAGAAAACAGAAAACATTATGAAAGAACGAGAACAATAGAAGAGTAATCAGGAAGACAGATAGCGATTGACATTACATTTAAATTTTTGAAGATCAAAGTTGGTCGGAAGCCAGAAAAGAGTTCCACAAGCGAGAAGTGCGAGAAAAGAAACTGTTAGCATAAAACCAACGGTTACATGTAGCCAGCTCAACTGTCAATTTACGAGACCTTAATGCTAATCAAGTACTGC